CCCCAAAACCCCAAAACCCCAAAACCCCAAGATGCCATGTAGATGTTGAGAGATAATATTTATGAGAGGAATTACTCAAAGTCTGATAGGCTTAATGACTTTTTCGAATTTCTGGGTATCTTCTTGTTCCTATGATTTTTAGCTTTCACTTCAGACCCCTTTTTAAACAATTCTGCAGCAATGTGTGATTGTGAGTCCGAGAAACTTGAGGGATCTATTGATGATTCCAGATTAGATAGTTTGTGAGTATGGCTATCATCCTCCTCGCTTTCTGATTTTGCTTCTTCAATTATTCTGATATCGCTTCTGGCTTTATCAGCTTCAGAAATCATTCTTTGTTGATATTCATCTACCTTTTGACTCCAATTTTCTCTATTCCTATCAATGTTTTGAAGGTTCTTATCAAGTCATTTCAATAATTTGGAAAATGCTTCAAAAGTGGGTTTGACAATAACATCAATGAATCCGAGTTGAGCTTTGGCTATATTAACTCATCATCTATCCATCAGATCACTCACTTGAATTCCTAGCTCTTTCTCTTTATCTCCTTGATGAAAGAACTCTTCAAAAAGCAGCTCTGTCCATTTCAGAGTGAGATCCCAAGGCTTGCTTGGGTTACTAATATCCGCTAGATGGCATCCAATTCCCATTCAGAGCAACTTATCCTTATCATCTGGCTCAAGAGTGTTAGATGCCCATTTTGACTTGAATAAACCCATGTCTGAGAAATGTTTGCTCATGTCTGTAGATAGCACAATATGAATCATTCTTTTATTTAATTTCAACTCTATCGTCTTTATCTGATCTTCTGAGAATATCATAATTTGCTGTGTTCATAAGTGCTAGTGAAGAAGCAATGTGATGATTTTCAAGAACTGATATATCATTATACCTCACTGCTAACGGATCTGAGGTATTTATCAAATATTGATTATTAAACCCAGGGTGTTCATGATCATGCACTGCTGCACCTAGTATCATTGAGAATAAATCAATATTCTCAAGATCACCTTTAGATATCCAATCTCCATTCATTATGAAGGTATAAAGAGTCTGTCAAAGATCTGCAGCATGTGTAGCATTATGGTACTTCACTTCCTCTTTGTACCCAGATGAGATCTTATCCATGAAAAGAAAGTACTCTTCAACATGAATCTTAAAACTTGAATACAAAGAATGCTTGTGGAGTAGACAAGAAGTAATTGTTGTAAGCTCTCTATTTTTCGATTTCTCTTTAAAATCAAAAATATCAAACTCAAAGGTATCAAGGTCCTCCATTAATTTAATGTGATCGAAGTCAAGATCGAGACAAGATTTAAGACTTTTCTGATTTTCAAGAGTCTTGAGCACAATTCCCCCTGCATTCTCAGATCCTCTTTTAATTTTGACCAAATTAGTACATGATTTAATCCAAGCCTGTTCTTCCATCTGGAGAATGGCTCCTCTTCTCTTTCTCAAAGACCCAACCTCTTGGGATTGAGAATCTTTGACACCAATCTTATCTAGAGTTCCACTAGCAATATGTTTGATGCAGTAATGAATATCATTATAAGACTTTGGGTCTTCTAAAGTATCACCTATTTGCATCAAAATGTCAATAATCTTCTCTGAATTTGGCTTATCTGAATCTGAAAAATCAAAATCTATCATACTAAAGTCCTCCTTGGTATTTGTTCGTGTCTGAATATTGCTCAGTATTATTGGGATATGGAAGAGCCTCAGACATCCTCTCACTCTGAGAATGATGCTGACTGAGTATTCATCAATAAATATGTCTCCTAACCAGAATACTATAATGGCTCCTACTAGTACAAGATTGACTAGATTAAACTTATTTTGAAAGTAAAGATCTCTGAAAGCATATTTATTGACCAATAGTTCTAGCACAAAGCAGACAATAAATATTACCTCTATGAAGTGATACATTACCATAATAGAAGTTTTACCAGTATCTTTATCAGCAGCAGTCATAACGAAAGTAAACATTCAATACGCCATTATCAACCCGACTATTCAAATGCTTACAAAAGACTTTTGTAAATTCTGAACAAAATATCTCCTCCTCCCAATAACACCATGGCTTTCAAGCTCCTCAGTATGAAAAACATAACTCTTATTTCCCCACTGTAGACTTCACTCCATTCCAAGTACTGGCCTTCCCTGACTTCCTCTTCTCACTCCTCTCCTTCCCTTTCCCACTGCCCTCAAACATATTACCCCAAACTCCCTCTAAACTTTCCTTCTGCAGCTGAAGTCCCTTCTCCAGCAGAATGAGCAGGGGAGATCTCAACCTTACTGTAACTTGTACTAGGAGAAGGCTTTGGGGACTTGAATAGAGAACTTTTAGGTGTGACAGTGTTGGGTTTAGAGGTAGGTTCCATTTTATTTAAATGTGTGTGGAAGGTGAGGGGTTTTGGGGTTTTGGGGTTTTGGGGTTTTGGGG